CTCATGAGCATATTTAGCTTGACCCACAAAGAGACCGGTGGATGTGTAAGAAATCTCAAGGCCTAGAAAAAAACTCAATTTTCCGAGATCTTTGATGGAGAACTCAGCATGAATTCTAGCGATAAACCGCTGAAGCATGCCCGGATCATTTCCGGTAATAATGATATCATCCACATAAAGTAGAAGATATAAAATGGAAGGACCCTTATGAAGACAAAATAAAGAGGACTCGGACTGTGTTTTCCGGAAACCCAATTTCAGCAAGTAGGAGTTGAACCGCTGAAACCAAGCCAAAGGAGCTTGACGAAGACCATATAATGCCTTTTGGAGGCGACAGACATGATCCGGATAACGTGGATCAACAAACCCGGGTGTTTGAGCCATGTAGACTGGCTTGGTGAGAACTCCATTTAAGAATGCATTCTTCACATCCAACTGATGCAGGGACCAACTGTGATGCACTGCAATGGCGATTATAGTGCGTACAGTTGCGGCCTTGACACTAGGATTGAAGGTGTGATGAAAATAAACACCAGGAATCTGAGTGAACCCCTAAGCTACCAGGCGAGCTTTATGTCGTTCAATAGAACCATCCGAACGATATTTCATTCGAAACACCCATTTCGAGCCCACAATATTAGTGTTGGGAGGCGGCGGTACCAACTCCCAGGTTAAGTTCTCCATTAAAGCGTCGATTTCCTCATGTATCGTAGACATCCAGTGAGGAGACTTGGCAACAGACTTGAAACCCCGAGGCTCACTAGCAAGAGCCAAAGAGGAAAGCAAAGCCATAGACGCAAGATCAACCGGATATTTTGGTTTGAAAATACCCTCCAGAGCTCGTGTTACCATCTGGTGTTGAAGCAAAGGCAGTGGCAAAGGAGCTGCCGGTGGAGATGGCGCCATCGGTGGTGAAGACGCCGCCGGCGGTGAAGGTGGTGCAACGTCAGGTTGAGGCTCCGGCAGTGCGGGAGCATCAACTGGGTCCGGCGGTGCTAAAGGAGTAACCGCTGTAGGAACGTCTTCCCCATCATCAAGCAAATCAGTCTCCGGATGAAGATGACATGAAAATATGTGTGAGGGTGGATCAAGTTGTGGAAGGGTTGTAGGAACACCCGGATCCAAGAAGCTCGAAATAGGCAAATTAGTTGCAGACGAAGTGGCATCTCCAAAGAAAGGGAAAACTTGCTCATCAAACTGGGCATGACGAGTAACATAGATACGTGCGGAGGCAGGATCGAAGCATCAAAAACCCTTGTGAACACTGTTGTATCCCAGAAAAATGCATGGATGACTGCATGGAGATAACTTACGAACTGCATAATCCTGAAGAAATGGGAAAACTCGACACCCGAAGGGCTTAAAAATAGCATAATCCGGAGCAGAGTTGAATAACAACTCATATGGAGATTTATTTGCTAGCATGGCTGAATGCAACTGGTTAATAATATAAACAGCAGTGGCAAAGGCCTCAAACCATAAAGTTGCAAGTGCAGAAGCATGGAACAAAATAGAAAGACCAGTTTCAGTGATATGTCTGTGCTTTCGTTCAGCTCGACCGTTTTTCTGTGGAGTATATGGACAAGAAAGACGATGAAAGATTCCATGGTGAATTATAAAATCAGCAACATGTTTATTCACAAATTCAGTACCCCCATCAGACTGAAACACCTTTAAAGGATGAGAAAATTGCGTGCAAACAAAGGTGTGAAACCGAATCAAAACATCATAAAATTCTGATTTCGCACGCAACGGGTAAATCCATGAGAATCAAGAAAAATCATCCACAAACACAACATAGTAACGAAACCCGGAAGAAGAAGTAAAAGGGGCAGGTCCCCACAAGTCACAGTGCACTAAATCAAGCACACAGGAAGCACGTTTTTCATTTAAAGAAAAGGGCAATTTTTTACTCTTAGCCAACTAGCAAGGTGAACAAACAGTAGGATGAGACAATAAAGATGTAACAGACAAGTGTCCCAATTTGTTCAATAAAGAAATAACTTCAAAGGAAACATGTCCTAGGCGTAAGTGCCATTAATTAAAACTAGCTTTGGGATGTAGGACATCAACCAAAGCCGAGCCACCCTTCTTTAGCACATAAAGACCTTTTTCACACTTTCCCTGAGCCAGAGGTTCCTTTGTCACCCGATTCTGAATAATAAAAGATTTTTCAGAGAAGACCACATCAACATTATTATCTGAAGTTATCTTGCTAATAGACAAGAGATTCTTAGTAATAGCCGGCACAACCAAAACATCTGACAAATTAATATCTGGCAAAATAGTAATTGAACCAACACGAGAAACAGGTAGAGATGTTTCATTTCCCACAGTAAAAGTGCCATTACCGGTGTATGGCTTATATGAATCCAATTGAGCACTATGAGGAGTTATATGAGCCGAAACGCCAGAATCAACAAACCAATCGGAAACTGGAGATGGTTGAGAAATATTACATGAGGCGTTGAATGCTTGAGCCAAGTCTGCTGAAGAGGAAAAAATGGATGGGGGCTGGTGAACTTGAGTCTGTAGTTGCAAGAAGCGGGGGCACTTATCAGCGTAGTGCTCCACTCGGCACAACTGACAGCGAGGCGTATACTACCGGCGACCACCACAGCCACCACCCCGACGTTGAGAACCCGCAAAGCCACCCCACGCGACCGGTTCTGCCCAGAATTCCAATCTGCATCAACATTGGAACTTGCAGCAACAAAGACGACCTGAGTAGGAGCAAAGCCCTCCATATACCTGGTTAACATGTCAAACTGCACAGCTTGATGCAGTAGGTCACAAAAAGGATGCACGGGATGCATGGACTGGTATCTGCAAAGTTAGAGAAGAAATGGCCTAACCCACGAAAGAACTAATAGCTTTTGTCATGTTCGTCAACCGGTTTTTGGATGGCGGAAAGCTGGTCACAAAGTGATTTAAAACGGCGCCCATACTCTGCAACGGACTGACCCTCACGACGAAGAGACAAAAGCTCTTCCCGGAGTTGATTTGTGTGGGAAGTGGAAGCATGGGCGAAAGCCGATTCTAAGGCCAGCCATGCAGAGTGGAACGAGTTGAAGTCAAGGACTTCGGCCATGGCTTCTTGCTCTAGGGTAGCGTGGAGCACTCCCAAGAGTTTCTGGTCTCGTAGAAACCAGGCGGAGTAAGCAGGATTACAATAATACAATAGGATCCACAATTTGTGGAGATAAATATGGAAAATATACAAGGATTATGGAAAATATACAACAAATAAAAATCCTATTATTATGCTCTATTTACTCCTATTACTTGGCATGTGAGTTTTGGTAGACATATATTGCCTGGTGTCTTTGCATGGTAAAAATGATTGGCTACTATAATGCAATTTCAAAGTAATGTGCATTATCAACGGGTTATAAGAATGCCTGAAGCAGTTCTACTTTGCTTATTATTACATTACATTGTTATCAAATAGACAAGTCAAGTTTGTTATGCAAATATACATCATCAATTTAGTTATAATTGCACTTAAACGCCTATTGTATCTCACATAGTAAGAATCATACCTACACCAAAACTACAATAAAAAAATCAAAACACCTATGTTCCTGGTTTTGCAGAATATATATTGCACAGACCATTACCGGAATAAATAGGCAGTCTACACGGACCATCACAAATAATTATATTACAAAACATTAAAGTGCATTATAGTTTTTGCATTACTACTGCTACACCACTGCTGCTAACAGAAACTAGGCTGCACTGTTGCTACTACACCACTGCTATTATTAAACAGACAAGGCAAGGTAAGGTAACACAAGACGACAGGAGACGAACCATTGAACGCATAACCAACTACTTAAAACAAGAAATCACATGCTCCAACACGGCAATTGCAAAATAAATTTTCTTGTGTTTTCTTTGTTGGAGCGACAACATGGATTTCCTCAACAGCACCACACTTGCATTAAGGACATCGTTACCGTAGGTCAAGATTTTCCCGCCCCGTGAAATTCGATTTCGAGCCGCTAAATGACATCTATGACCATATTTGAGAGTAAATATTAAAATAATTGCAAAAAGACACAAACACATACGATTATTTTCTTTCAAAGAGACACCTGATCCTATATGCAGTTGTTACCGATAAATTAAGCAAGCAAATAATTTTTTTTTGAATTTAAAAATAATTCTATATTGATTTTTTTATATATAGAAAATTTTAATATTATAGGTATTTGTTATTGCCCAAAAAATCAATTTAGAGGCTGAAATATACCGAGATGTCGGAAACCCAAAATGAAGATAGTGAAGTCCAATCTAACTATTCACTCCAAAAATATACATACCAATTTAGAATCATTGAAACATGCAATTTGGATCATTGTTCAAATAGTTAAAATTATGCATAGTGAATAGAGGCATGCAAAACAAAAAGGAGGGGGAGAAAGATACATAAACCCCTATAGATCTAGAAGGATTCATCCAGTTCCCGTCCCTGCAATTTATTTTTGCTTTATTTTCTGTTTTTGTTTTGAATTTTATTAGATACATTATCGAATCTTTACTTTCATCCAATAATTTATTTTTAAATTACCAATTTCTGTACATTCGATCTCAATTCCCAACTCTTCCAACCCATTTTGATCATGTTTTCAATAGGCCCATGGGCCATGAAATTTGCGAGAACAATTATAAATTTCACCCAACCCACAATATCTTGACCACAAAATAAAAAGCAAACATAATAACTTAAAATATAATTAAGTATCAAATATGATAATTTCTCTAAAAAAAATATATTATAAATGGCAATATGAAACAAAATATACAAATAAACACACACATTTTTATTATTATTAAACAACACGAAAAACATAAACATTTTTATTATTATTAAACAACACGAAAAACATATTATTCTTACAATAAAGGTAAAATAACATTCAATTCATTTTAACTTCTAACAATCATCCATCAAATTATTTCGAGCATCAGTCTCACACAATTACCAACCATCTTCATAGTCCCCCGCCATTGTCATTGTTGTTGCCGCCACTTCCACTCGGCCTCAAGCGTTGATCATATGGCATCATTGAGCTTGACCCCACTCCATGCGGATGATCCATACCAACATTGGGTGCCGGCCGAGTGGCAACAGGCATTCCACTAGTCATATTCTTCACCCAGGATTCCATGTCACTCCCAAAGGTGGTCACAGCTCCTCTCAACCAATTGAGTTGCTCGTAACTGTGCCCCTCCATACCTGATGGTATCATATTCTCCCTCATCTTCAGCAATTGTTCGCCCTGTGCTTTCTCTGCAGCTATCTCTGCTTCCGGTCGAGCCAAATGGTTGAGCTCGTATTGCCGAATCCAAGCCAAATCTCGACCCTCTCTCCATTGATCACCTCCACTTATATTCTCTGGGTTAAGAAATTTTCTGGAAATAGAATCAATACTTGGATGTCCGAAGGAATGGGCTTTTTCACCAGGAGAAAATACTACGACGCCAGCCTCTGCACCCGTCAAAGTGCATAGCTCGCTTGCTTTCTTAAAAACTCCAGACTTGCGCTTCGAGAAAGTGACTAGAAGGTTGCTCTCCTTCTCTATCTTTTGCATAGGGATCTTGCGACGGCCAAGCTTTCGACGGGATGAAGATTCAGCTTGATCTCGAGGACTGCTCATAGTGTCGAAAATGAATAAGAAGGTAGGTTTGTAAGAGCTTAGAAAATATGTTAGAAAACAAAAGAAATATGTTTAGTAAAACTGTGTGTATATTTTCATCAATGGATTTCCTAATATTTATACTAGTTTAAACTTTTCTGATTACTTTATTTTTGAAGGAAAAGCATATTGATGTCATAATTCCAGTTTTTATTTATGTAAAATTTATTTATTTATTACTTTTGTAATTAGGAAAAGTGAATTGATGTCCTAATTCCACTTTTTATTCATGTAAAATTTGTTTTTTGATTACTATTTTGTTTGTAGGAAAAGTGAATTGATATCGTAATTCCACTTTTTAGTTATGCAAGATTTATCATGTAAGTAACCAATGTTATTAGACATATAGTTAATAAATTTTGGATACTACTCTTTTCCTAATATTTGACATAAGATCTCATGGAGTTAGTAATAAGTGATAAGGTGTGATAGTGTGGGGTTCCTGGTTTCATTTTTTAGAAGATTAAATCTACCATTCATTTCCCTTAGAAAAGTAATAACTAACAACTTGTTTAATTTTCATAAATAAAAAAAAAAGTAAAACAAAATTTAATCATCAATGTCTTGTCCTTGTTGTAGTTATTGCGTTGTCCTTCTTGTTGTTGTTATTAGTAGAAGAAGTAATAGTAGTAGAATAAATGTTTTTATATATAGATATATATGGTGTTGAAATCGGTACTAAAATATATATTGCAAAACCAATATAAGGTACAACATATATATATATATATATATATATATTTCAAGTATCAGTCTGAACAACTTTTTTACCTTCAAAGATTTAAAATATGTTATACAGAACTTAAAAATCACTGGTAAATGAAAAGGACTTTTAAGAAAATTATAAATTATAAAAAAATTAACGTAAAATAAGAGTCTATAAGTGCCGCAAAAGAAAAATTTTCAATATTTATTTGAGAGTTTGAATTTTTAGTTGGGATTTTTGAATAGTAAAAAATTTGAATTGAAATTGTTGTTGATGTGATATAAATATGTATTGATGTGATGTTTTGAATGTAAAATTGATTTTTAGTATAATATAAAAAAATAAAAATAAGTGTTTGATTTGATATTTTTGGGGAAAAAAAATTGGATGAATAGTTAAAATTTCTACAAATCCTCCAAACGAACACACACGGATCTATGCTTGAAACAATCTTTAAATTTATAAATAATTTACTTCTTAAACGTGTAAGTATATAAAATGGGTTATATAAAAGTAGTATTGCTTCATCGAAACTAAGAAACAATGAAATTAAGAAATCAATATAAAAAAGTGTGGAGTTTCATAAAATGGTGTAGTCTATTCTAAAGTAGTCGCTCCAAGTAACCGTAAAATGATATTTATATCGAAAGAAAATTTCTTAAACACTAAATAGCGTATCCATTTTTATTATACTCTTATTCATCCCTTATCATTTTATGTTTGTAGCAATAAATTTTATTTTACATATTCTCGAAAAAAAAATCATGACAAATATGTTAAAAATATTAAAAACAAGCATACAAAAATGGAAAATATCAAATGATTCATATACATATGCATGTATATGAAATATAGATCACTTTTAATAAATGTTATAAGGAAAATTGATCATCGTAAGTGTAAATTTTCAATAATTTTTTCAATTAAACAAATAATCAAATAAAAATATAATAATATAATTAAAGAAAATAATATTGATATGATATCGTTTGTATTTTTTTTTTCTATTGTTTATTATTCAATTCAATATTTGTGTTTATAAAAATGCTACATTTCATACTAATTTTCATTTAGTACAACATTGATGGGATAAACACACAACGTAGAGGAAATATGAATTATCCATCTCTTGAAAATAGGAACATATAAAACCAATTGATAGAGAACATGTGTTAGTGTAGGTGAACGAGGAAGAAGTGATAGAAGGGTGAATTGTCCCATATGGCAAACACATAATTATCACCCTTCCATATATTGTTTTGCACCACATCAAGAATAAATAACAAATTGGGTTTGGATTGGGCATGGCTTGGTTTGAGCCAAGCCCAAAATTGCTTAAAGTTCAATTATTTTAATTTTTGTGTTTATTTGATTAATTTATTTGATTTGAAAAATTCAAATAATCAGATTAAACATTACGGTTGCAATTATCTTGCAACGTGCAAAAGTGGGTACAACGTTGACTTCTTCCCTTTTACAAAAAAATTAATAAAAATAATCCCCAAAACCATGAAAAATATATATTTCCTCTCCTTTATTTTGAAAAACACACGAAAACAATTTTTCTCTTCTAAGAAACGCTCTCAAATTTTCTACAAAATCTCTCATTCCAAAAGTTTCTTAATTCGGTTCGCGGAATATATTATTCTGTAAATTATTCATTCTATTCTGGGAGGGGATCGGTGGAGGGTTGAAATTCCTTCAAGGAACTCGCATCCCACGCAAGGCTCGGATTTATCTGAATTTGATATTCGAAATCATTATCAGATTTGGTGATTTGATTTTCTCGCCACATCTCGGATTCGTTATTAATATTCCAACAATCTTGAAGCGAGTTTCCGTTGGTGGAATCTGAGATGGCTGGCGAAATTCCCCATATCCACAATCAAATTGTTGCCGCCCAGATCGTACCTGAAGATGAAGCGATGATCGACGCGATGAATGATCCTGACAGAAATTTGAACGATCTGAATGATGCCGTTCAGAATGGTGCTGACAGAGATGAGAATGAGGAGGTGAATTCCAGTGAGTCTCACACTCCCGCTCCTATTGTTCCGTTATTTCAACCACCCCGCACAATCGGTGAAGCCGCTGAAATCGTTGCTGCCAGGCATGAAGCGCGTGAGGCGGCCAGGAGGGTTGCGAAGGCAGCGAACAGGCCTTCAAGGCTGCAATGGAGGGGGACGTAGACAGCCCACCCGGGCGCAGCCACTGCTATATAGCTTTTTTAAAAAATAAAAAAATAAAAAATGGAGGGGGACGCAGCCTGCTGCTGCGACCTCCAACCAGCTTGTTGCTGGACTGCAGAAACGGCATCTTGTTGATGCCCGACTGAAACAACCTGTTGTTGTTATGCCTCGTCCACAACGTATGGCTGTAGGACTTGCGCAGGGTCTCGTTGTGTCTATCGGACAACAACTAGACAATTTGGAGGGTATACGGCCTGTTACTGTTATGGACCATGCAATGCAGCCTGTTGCTGCAACTTTCAGGTAGCCTGTTGCTGCGGTAGCCGATAAGCCAGAAAAATTCCACTGGCAGAATTTTAAAAGATGGTAGCAGAAGATATTGTTTTATCTGACCACGCTGAATCTGGCAGATTGGCTGATGGAGGATGCACATGTTGTGTCTGAAGGATCCTCGGAAGAACATAAAGTACAAATTCTGAGAGTTTGGAACCATTCAGACTTTATGTGCAAAAATTATGTATTGAACGGCCTGAGCGACTTCATGTACGGTGTCTACCCGCATGCGTTAACGGCTAAGCAGCTGTGGTAGACGCTAGAGAAAAAGTACATAACCGAGGATGTTGGTGCAAAGAAATTTATCATCGGTCAGTTTCTGGATTTCAAAATGGGCAATGGAAAAAGCGTTACGAAACAGCTTGATGCATTTCAGCTGATTTTCCATGAGATCCAGGCCGAAGGGATGGAGCTGATTGAAGCTTTCCAAGTGACGACGATAATTGAAAATTACCACCTAGCTGGGGTGATTTCAAAATTTACTTGAAACACAAATGGAAGGAAATGGATATAGCGAGACTAATTAATCATCTCCAGACTGAAGAGGAGCATAGATCGAACCTGACAAGCAGGGGACATCTGATACTCAGCAGCAAGGCCAATGTAGTTGAGCACAAAGGCCAAGGCTCTTGTTTCAAGACAGCCTCGAGGAACAATGAGCAACCAGGAAAGAACTAGAAGCTAACGGACAAGGGAAAAGAGAAGCTGAAGCCATCTGATGGCGTTGAAAAGGCAAAAGAGTACCTTCAAAGGCACCTATTTTAATTACGGAGAGGTCGGACACCATTCGATAGACTTCAAGGCGCCGAAAAGAAAGAAAGAGACGAAGCAGGCACACATCGTTACTAAAGATGAAGAGCCACTCGACCTGACATGTGTTGTCCCTGAGACAAATCTGGTGGGATCAAACAAGAAAGAATGGTCGCTCGACATGGGAGCAACTCGCCATATCTGCATGGACAGGAATTAGTTCTCCTTATTCGAGCGTGTCGAAGGGAAACGATGTACATAAGGAATGTTGTTCCTGCGGAAGTTAAGGGAAGAGGAAAGGTGCTTCTGAAGATGATGTCTGGAAGAGTCGTGACGCTGACTAATGTCCTCTATGTACCAGCGATGACGAAGAACCTAGTCTCGGGAACACTCCTGATGAAACATAGCTTTAATATTAATATGAATGGTGATAATTTTGTTTTGCGTAAATCAGGAGTGTATGTGGCTAAAGGATATGTAGAGGATGGACTTTTGAAATGTTGTATTATGACGGTTATTGAAAATAATAATAAGTTTGTTGCTTATATTGTTGGGTCCTATACTTTATGGCATAGTCGATTAGGTCATGTTAATTATGATTCAATTCATCGATTAATACCTGAACCATATTCCGAAATTCCAACACATCCTTCAATTTGTAGATTGAAATCCCAAAATTTCAGAATCGGTCTCAACCTTAAAACTTGATTGATGGTGTGCATTTTGTGGATCAAGTTTTTGATACAAAAAACCTTTGAGGGTGACAAGATAAAAGTCGTTAAGCTAAAGTTGAGAAAATATATGCCCATTTTGTAAAAACATGTTAAAAAAACAACAATTGCATTATCAACTAAAGAACATTAACGAGTACAATGCATAAAACAAAAGAATATGACTACTGAGGCTTTCACCAACGTGTTCGAGTAGTTACAAATTTACTATGAGTAACCGCTACTATTCGAGTACACTGTAGGTAAATCTAT